CCGTGGTCGACTACGTGGGAGTCCAGCGACATAGCCATTACGCTAACTGCTGGTCCCCAGATCATAGGCTTTTGAACATGTGATTTCTTCATCGGTAATGGAAGGCTAATTACGTGTACTGGCCTTGAACTCTTGATCTTACTGCCTAAGTATCCCTACTACCTGGGATTACATTCCACCACTCTCAGTTTTACACAGTTTTTTGAAAACACTAGGAGTGTTCAGATTATTTTAAATGTTGGTTTTAAATTAATACATTCTTAACAAACATTTTGTTTCCTCTCAGGTTTGGTGAAATCATTCAACAGCATGGGCTCATTTTATAAAAACCCTGTAACACGTGCAAATGTATGTGATATTTTGTGGAATATGACAGGTTGATATTAATTTGCTTTTTTCAGAAGCTGGCAGGTGACATGGTGGTTAAGGCCTCTGGACTCCCATGGTTCGAGTCTGGACCTAGTAGCTTACTTTCTCACTTTCCATTTCTCTCTCTGTTTCTCTCTAGTCAAATTTTAAAAAATAAATAAATAACAACAAATTGAATTAAGTAAATAATTTTTTTTTTTTGCTTTTTCCAGGTCTTTACTTATGGCATTATTGACATTTTTTGTCTCCTAAGATTGTTAATAGTGATTTTTTCACATTTCTTTTTTTTTTTTTTTTTTTTTAATCAGGATCAAGTGAACCACCTATTAAATAATCCCTCCAAAGAAACTGAGCAGCCATCAACCAAAGCAGTAATTATCACCCATGAACGTACCAGAACCCAAAATGTTTACCATACAAAGAAAAAAACACACGATTCAGGACTAGCGGACAGAGATGGTGTTTTTAATGCAACTCTTAAGCAACTAAGAAGCCTTGGAGTAAAAATTGATTCTCCCACTAAAGTGAAGAAAAATGCACATAAAGTGGATCAGGCCAGGTAACTTTTTGAAATCTGTCTTGCAAGAAGAATAAATTTTAGATGTACTGTAGCAATCTCATGAGAAGAGGCCTAATAAGTTTGTGTCTCCATTCAGTCAGTTCATCATTTCAGGGCCTGCTATATGTGTGATGAATAGGAGATCATCCCTGTGTTTTAGACTCTTCATTGTAGTGGGAGAGAGGGTTATATATCAAAGTATTTGGGAGATGTTGAAGAGTATTTTTCTAAGTAGGGATGTCAATAAATACTTGGGAAGTCTTGGGAAAGAAGAAACAAGTTTTACTAGCATTACTCTGAAATGTCTTCCTGGAGGTGATGGGTCTGCATGAGGTACTAGATATACAATTGTGCCACCAAAAAAGGCAAAAACATGACTTTTTCTAGGAATATGTCCAGCTAGCTATGTCCTGTTCCAGTTCCTCTTTATCAAAAATGATCTCGGGACCAGCAGTTAGCGTAATGGCTATGTCGCTGGACTCCCACGTAGTCGACTGCGGTTCGAGACCCGGACCCCATGGCTTGAACTCACGCCAGGCGCGTGTGCGTGCATGCCCAAGATCCCGAGAGGAGAATGGAGGAGAAGGGATTGCGGCGTGGCCACCCCCCCTGGGGGGTGATTTCTCGCTTTCTATCTCTCTGTCTCTCTCTGTCTGTCTGGCGAGTGCATGCGCCCTATAGCAAAAACGTCTCAAAAAAAAAAATTATTTCAACATATACTTGTTAAAAAGAAGATAAAGTCTAGAAACTATAGTATCAAGACTAGTGTGTTTTCTGTTAATTATTTTGTATTGTTTCCTAATTATGAGAGTAATAAAATGCAAAGCCCCCACTCCTAGGAATGTTCTTTGCATATTCAAGTATATATGCATGATATGTTTCATGATTTGAATTTTTTTTTTAGCTTAACATTAAGTCTCAAATAATTTTATGTATAGGTATATACAGTTCCTTCTCATGCATTTAAACAGCTACATTATACTCTTTTATACCCTTATACTATAACATGTTAAACCCTAACCTTCTATTAATGGACTTTTAGGCCAGACCTCTTATTTGTCATTTCAAACAGTGGCAAGTGAACATCATTCCACAGGTACTTGTACCGATCTATTCGTAGGATAAATTCCTAGGTAGGCAGAATTAAGATATATGCATTTAAAGTTTTGATAGATGTTACCATTGCTCACCAAATAGTTGTACCAATTTATATTTCTACTAATAGTGTAGGAGTATAAGACTAGTGCTTTGAAGGCTTTATTTCTGAATTGAGATAGTGACTGTATAACCTCTGTTGAAATGCACCAATCACCGTGTATCTATGAGAAATCCTCATATCTTGATATGGCTGCTTTTAGGAAATAGTTTTGAGGTAATATATTTTTTCATAACGGCCATCCTGTTTTAATGTCTTCATTGCAAAACATCATTATTAATATATTTTTGGTATATAATGAACTTGATTTGTTTAACTGCCTGAAATGAAATGGAATGGAAAGCCATTTTACATATCAATGTGGGATCAGACCGTTCTGGTTGTCCCAGCCACTGTAGTACCAGATAGACACTGGGACCTGGCAGGCTGAAGTCACCTAGGAGGCTAGAGTCCAATTTCCATCCTACTCTGAAAAGCCAGCATGATGGCACTCACCTGTGATTTCAGGTACCCAGAGGCTGAAGCAGGAGGATCACAACACAGTAAGACCTTGTATAAAACACCGTACACATACACACATTCACGTGAGATTTTTCTCAAAGAAATGAAAGCAACTATAGGAAAAAAGTTTTCAGTTCAAAGTAACATATTAAGTATTTCCGTAAGGGGGAGAAGTAACATCCCTGTATCTTCACATACATTTTTAAAATATGTTTCACAATATGGTATAAACCATTTTAGAGAATTTTGTAGAGCTCTGGAAATAGAGTTTGATTCTTGTTTTGTTTCCATTGTCAAAGTAATAAAACTATTTTTGAAATTGGAAAGCTTAGAGAATGGACCAAAAAACTCATTTCTACCAAACTCAAATTATTAATATTAAATTTTGCTTCTGTATTTTCTATAAGTTTTTTTCTTAAATAATTTTAACAGCAACCATACAGTGAATGCTCATGGTATGTCTGAAATTGCCCTAGGGACCAGCAAATGGCATAGTGGTTGTCGCTGGACTCCCATGTAGTCGACTGCGGGTCGAGTCCCAGACCCGGTGGCTTAAACTCACACCAGGCGTGTGTATGTGTGTGCCCAAGATCTCTGGAGAAGAAGGGATTATGGCATGGCCATCCCCCTGGGGGGAGATTCCTTACTTTCTGTCTCTTTTGTCTCTCTGTCTTTCTGGCAAGAGCACACGCCCTATAGCAAAAACAAACAATCCAACAAAAAACTCAGACTGGGTATGTGTGTGCGTGCCCAAAACCCCAGAAGGAGAATGGAGGAGAAGGGATTGCAGCCTGACCATCTCCCCTGGGAGGTGATTTCTTGCTTTCTATCTCTGTCTCTCTCTCTCCAGTGAGCACAAACATAACCTTTAGTAGTAATCTTTCTCTCTAAAACAAAAAGTAACTCCCCTAAAGTCTTATGCAGTATTTTTTTATTTAATCATTAAAATAGTCTGTATGGTAGATTCTACAATTTGAACACCTGTAATCTGAAAATTCAAAATTCTAAACTTTTGAGCACCAACTTACCACAAATGGAAAATTTTACACCTGATCTCACGTGACGGGTCATACTCAAGATGCTAAAATAAAACTATATTGTATTGGGATTGGTAGTTGGCATGGTGGCTAAGGGCACTAGACTCCCACATGGCTAACTGCGGTTCGAGTCCCTGACCTGGTGTCTTGTTCTCTCTTTCTTTCTCTGGTCAAAATTGAAAAAGATAATAAAGAAATAATTCTTTAAGAAAAAAAAAAAACTATATTGTATAAAACTACCTTCAAGCTATATGTCTGTGGAATATATATGAAACATAATTGAATTTTATATTTAGACTTGGGTTCCATCCTCAAGATATTTCATTTTATATATATTGATATATATATATATATATATAAATAAATGTGTATATATATATATAAATGTCCAAAACACTTCTGGTTCCAAGTATTCCAGATAAGGGATATTCAACTTGTATTATTGTTCTGTTTTTATAGATGAGGAGACTGAAGCACAGGAAAATTGAGTGCCAATTTGCTCAAGCTGCACAGCTGTGATTTTAGACCTCCTCTACTCTAATTCCGAAGCCCATACTTTCCCCCAGTTTTGCTGTTGAGTTATAGCTCACAATGTGTCTTTACACACTGGGCTTATAAGACTCTTGGCTTTTGTTTTAATATTTCACTTCTTGGGGCTGGCAGGTGTCATGGTGGCTAAAGGCACTGGACTCCCACATGGCCACGAAGGTTCAAGTGTTGGACCCTGGTGGCTTGCTTTCTCACTAGCCCTCTCTCTTTTTCTCTCTTTCTTTGTCTCTCTCTGATCAAACTGGAAAAAATAATAACAAAGTTAAATAAAAAATAATTCTTTTTTAAAAAGAATTTTTTTTTTTAGAGGTTTTTGCTTTAGAGCGTGTGCGCTCTCCAGAGAGACAGAAAGCAAGAAATCACCCCCCAGAGGGGATGCCTACATCACAATCCTTTCTCCTCCATCCTCCTCTCGGGATCTTGGGCATGCACGCACACACACCCAGTGTGAGTTTAAGCCCCCGGGTCCAGGACTCAAACAGCAGCCGACTACATGGGAGTCCAGCGACATAGCCATTACAACTGCTGGTCCCCAAAAAATTATGCTTCTTAAACCCAGGTACAACAGCATATCCAAGCCGTTGGCAAAACTAGGATATAGATAACTTGGTATCAAGTTAAAACCCATACTTTCATTGTTTTTAAGAATTATTTTATTTAACTTTATTTATTTTAATTTGACCAGAGAGGGACAGAGTGAAAGAGAGAAAATGAGAAAGCAAGCTGCCAGGTCTGGGACTCGAACCATGGTTGGCCATCTGGGAGTTCAGCACCCTTAATCGTCACACCACTTCTCGGCCCCCATTCTTTGATTTTTCAAAAGTTCATTTGTGGGCCACCCCCATAGACTATTAAAGGAAACAAGATCCCACATCACAAAATGCAATACAAACTCAAGTCCTAAAGACTTGACATGTCAGGCATGTGTGTGTGGGTGTCCAAAAATCCCAACAGGATGGAGAAATGGAGAAGGGACTGTGGTGTGACCACACCCCATTGGGTGTGCTTTCTTTATCTCTGTCATGTAGAAACGCAAAACAAAACAACGGGAACCAGCAGTTAGCGTAATGGCTATTTTGCTGGACTCTCATGTAGTCGCCCGCAATTCGTGTCCAGGACCTGGTGACTTAAAACTCACGCCGGGCGCGTGTGCATGCATGCCCAGGATCCCAAGAGGAGAATAGAGGAGAAGGGATTGCGGCGTGACCATCCCCCCTGGGGGGTGATTTCTCGCTTTCTGTCTCTAATGTCTCTCTCTCTGTCTGTCTGGCGAGTGCACGCGCCCTACAGTGAAAATCTCTCAAAAAAAAAAAAAAAAAAGGCAGCTCATTTGCTCTGCTACTTACTGCTTGTTTAATTTTTCAGTCAAATCTGACAAGGATTGTATGTGACTCTTTGGAGTTTTAATCATGCTGCTCTTTATACACACACACACACACAACTTTTTTTTTTTAATATGGAGTGAATTTTCCAAGTTGTTGTAACCCTTGCTAGCATCATTTTTACTGGGGATATAATGATCCATTGAGTGGGATATAACATTCATTTATCTGACCTTTCCTCTCTGTCAGAACTGAGAACTGACTTGACAGGTTTATTGCAGTTTGTTACTATTTTATATATTTTCAATATTTTCTTCTCTACTTATGACAGTGTGCATGCACGTAAGAGTGAAAGAAGGATGAGCGTCCTCTGTAGGGTCTGGTCATGCCTCAGTCCAGCAGATCTCGGTCACTCTCATGCATACCTGGCATGTTTCAGACTGGATGGGCTGGGGATTTGAACCTTGGTTACTTACCATGTAGAGATCTGTCTTCTCTTGAGCAGTGCTTTTACTACTATGTCACAGAGCTGGCCCCATTTCTTACTATTTTAAATGTTGCCATTATGAACATCTTGCAGATTTTACATTTTTTGGTTTTGTGATTATTTCTTTAGAATAAAGTCTTAAAAAGACTAAGTCAAAATGGTACCAAAAATTCAAGACTGTTGGGACCAGCAGATGGCATAATGGTTATGTTGCTGGTCTCCACATAGTTGACTGCGTTTTGAGTCCCAGACCCAGTGGCTTAAATTTCATGCCAAGCATGTGTGTGTGCATGCCCAAAGTCCTGAGAGGAGAATGAAGGAGAAGGGATTATGGCGTGGCCATCCTCCTGGAGGGTCATTTCTTGCTTTTTGTCTCTCTGGTAAGCCTATAGCAAAAATCTCAACAACAACAACAACAACAACAACAAAATTAAGACCCTTGCTAAGAGAAAAAGGAAGGGATATGTATGTGTGTGTGTAAGCCAATGGCCAGAGGTTAGTTGATGTTTTTTATTCATTGCAAATGGAACTTCAACTATGAACAATTTGCTCTTCTTGCTACTTACCAGAGGTTATAGTATTATTTCATTAAAGATCTTTTGGGTTTTATTTTTATATTTTACTTTGCATTGAACAGTTGCTAGCCTCTTGTGCTATGTGTAGTATTAATAGTTGTAAGTTAAATAACTCACAGCAATATTGAATGGCTCTTACATTTGAGCTCTCATATTTGGTCTTAAACCATGACTGATAGACACTTAGCAAAATTTATTTGTGTTGTACTTTCAGTCTGTGAATCATAGATTACCTTCTAGGTTATCCCGTTTATCCCTTTAATGTCTATCTTGATCAAGACTTTATCTGAGCACTCAGAAAGAAAGCACTATGAACCGGAAGCTGAAGACCTTTTATTACTTGCATAGGATAAGAACACATTCGGAATGACACCATTTAGTTCTCAGAATACGGTAAATGACGGCTTACTACTTTATGTCTTTCAGCGTGCTGGCATGCATCAGCCCAGAAGCAGTGATCTCTGGATTAAACTACATGTCATTTGCTAATGTTGGCATGAGTGGCTTAAGCCCCAACGGTGTGGATTTGAGCATGGAGGCAAATGCTATAGCACTGAAATATTTAAATGAAAATCAGCTGTCACAGCTGTCTCTCACTCGATCAAACCAAAATAATGGTGACTCGTCTTTTAGCCTTCTGCATATTAACACAGACAGAAGCACAGTGGGACTTAGTTTAATTTCCCCAAGCAACATGTCATTTGCAACCAAAAAGTACATGAAGAGATACGGACTCATACAAAGCAGTGACAATAGTGAAGATGAGGAGGATCCTCCCAGTGATACAGAGGGCAAGAGCGAATGTTTATCTGCACCCGAACAACTTGGCTTCCGGAAAGACCCTTCAAGGAATGCCTGTGAAATCATTAGCTGTCATAACTGTGAGTCTGTGAGCACCCACACAGATATACCAGTATTGAGAAATATAACAAATGAAGTTGTGCAGCCCAAAGCTGCACAGCAGTTGAATGAAAACCCAGTTTATTCACTAAAGAACCCTAAGCCAAGTCCTACAGTGAACCTCCGAACTGGAAAAGCAGAGTTTACCCAACATCCTGAGAAAGAAAATGAAAGGGACGTTCCAATTTTTCCTGAAAATGTGCAACCTTCTGAAACTTTAAAGCAAATGAATAGCATGAATTCAGTAGGCACCTTCTTAGATGTAAAACGTCTCAGACAGTTGCCCAAATTATTTTAAAAGTTTAACTTCTTCCCCTTCTGATATGGGGACTGAGTTATCTCCTAGACATATTTAGAGAAGCCAGAGCCCTCTGATAGTTTTGGAATTCCTAGCCATTCAAGCCTATTTCTTAATGTCTCGTCATTTGCAAAGAACTGACCAAGTGACTTGATTGTTTATGAAATGGCTAGCGAGAGAGCGAAATTCTCATTCCGGTGGAGCCATTCAGCATCACTGAAAGCCAAATTCTCCTCATTCCGGTGGAGCCATTCAGCATCACTGAAACCTTTAAGAAAAAAAAAAACTTTGAGAGTTATTTCACCTAATTGAGTAAACGGACACTATCCAACTCTGAATCTGAATTGCTCTTTTGTACTGTACATTTGAAGAAGTAAGTCCATTTTCCTAGTATGTTGCATTTCTGCATTTGTGCCAAAAGAACATATTGTTATCATGACACTGGCTAAATTAGCAAGATCAACCTTTCTTGAGTATAAAGGGTAAAGCTATTTTAAAAAATAACTCGAGGTCTTTTTTTTATAAAGAGTTTATTTCCTTTAACTAAGATGCATATTTATTAAACTCTGTAGAAATACAACTTTATCAGCCTGGTGGGTTGATTAATATTAGTATAACATCTTCAGCATGCAGCACTAGTTACCACAGAATAAGAAAATTATTGGGTATGAATGTTTTATAAACTTGGTGAGCTTTTTGATGTTTTAGTATTTTTCTAATAGTGCTTAATAAAAGTGTTTTTCTTTGTCCACTGCTATAAGTTTATCCTTCTCAACTTTTTTCTTTTTAACTTTTAGACTCCCCAGAAGTTAACAAAAATAATACAGAATCACATGTGTCCCCTAGTGGTAATATGTTACGAAATCATAGCGTCCTGAGATCTATCCAAGTTGTTGGATGTATGAATAATTCTTCTTAAATACCGCCTTGTTAAAAATGGTTTAAATTTTTTTTTCAGAATATAAATTTTAAAAGTCTTCATTCCCTTGAGATATAAAGATTTTCTGCTTAAGTTAAGGTATCATTTCCTTATATTAGAGTTTGATATGTAAACTGGAAAGAAAGGGACTTTGTATCTTTAAATACTTTTCCAAAGCAGTTATGACTTCCTGAGAGACAGTAGCCTGATAAAACAATTTGTAGGGGACCAGCAGGTGGCGTGGTATTTAAGGCACTGGACACTCCCACAAGGTCAACCACAGTTGAGTCCCAGATCTGGTGGCTTGCTTTCCCACTTTCCTCTTCTCTCTCTCTTTGGTCAAATTAAAATAAATTATTGAATAAATAATTCTTTTAAAAATAAATAAATAAATAAACAATTTGTAGTTAGCAGGCCTAAGTATAGTATGATAACATGACGACTCTCTCCTGTTCCCGACGGAGCCAGGTACTGTGTACTTTTGCTCACATCAATGCCCTTTGGAGTTAGGATAGTGGTGATGTCTTACCCTGTGTTTCCATGTGCATCATTCAGAGCTTTAGTTACTTGAACAAGTAGCATAATCCCCTTATACATTTCACTGCAGTAAATTTGAGTAGCAGAATTATCAATGCCACTTCAAGTGTGCTCCGTTTAACTTCAGCCCTCTTTGTTTAACTGAGGAATCTCTATGTGAATAATAAAAACTGAACTGAACCTGAGGCATTTTAGGCAAAATTGATCATTTGTTACCACATTTAATTTAAGACATCTGATGTTTAAGCAGTTTCAGAAACTGAGTTTAGGCTACAGGTAATCTCAAAACATGTCTCTTCTATTAAATACATGCCAGTAGAACAGGGACCACTGAAGCCTGAAAGTTCTAGAAAGTTCTCTAAGACTATTTTGCTGTTGAAAGTTACCTGGCTAATTAGTTGCTATGGTATCTTTTAGGCATCGTTGAGAAAAGCACTAGTACTAGGGAAATTAGATTAAAAGACGAGAGGCGTTTGCCTCTCAAATGGCAGTCTGAATTTCTTTCAACCAGTCCCATAAGATACACAGGTACTGTTCCAGATGGAATCGGAGAAAGAGATTAATTGCCCATCTTCTGAGAAGCAAATCCACTAGTCTGGGTCCTGGTCAATTGGCAAGCCACTTCTTCCTCCCCAACCCCTGCCCTAGTCACTAAATGTCCACTTGCCCAGGCTTAAAGCCAGTTCGTCCTAACTCACTTGTCCTCTGCCTTATCCTGCCCTGCACTCAGCCCCGCAAAAGTGGATGTAGACCTGTTAGACAGAAGCCTCACTTTTGTCAGCTCTAAGGACTTAAGGAAAACAGACCCAAGAAATAGTCACAACAGTTAAACAGTGTATGACAGAATCCACGTGGCCAACAGCCATTGGAGTTTAGGACCTGGTGACTTGAAGGTCACCACAGGCATGTGTGTGTGCATGCCCAGGATCCCAAGAGAAGAATGGAGGACAAGGGATTATGGCATGGCCACCCTCCCTGGGGGGTGATTTCTCGCTTTCTTTCACTGTATCTCTCTCATGAGTACATGTTCCCTATGGCAAAAAACGTTAAAAAAAAAAAAAAGATAAGAAAACCCAGAATAAGTAATGTAGGCTAAGGAACTGCAACAGTGTAAACTTTTAAAAAAAAATAAATAATTATTTAGGAGCCAGCAGGTGGCATGGTGGTTGAGGTGCTGGACACTCCCACATGGCCTATCATGGTTTGAATCCTAGACCTGGTGGCTTGCTTTCTCACTTTCCTTCTCTCTGTGTGTCTGTTTCTCTGGTCAAATGAAAATAAATGAATGAATAAGTAAAAATGAAATATAATAAATAAAAATATTTTTTAAAAATTTATCCTTATTTATCCTTTTTTTTTTTTTTTGGAGAGACTTTTTGCTATAGGGTGCGTGTGCTCGACAGAGACAGAGAAACAGAAAGCGGGAAATCACCCCCCAGGGGGGATGGCCATGCCACAATCCCTTCTCCTCTGGGGATCTTGGGCACGCACGCACACGCTCCCAGTGTGAGTTTAAGCCACTGGGTCCAGGACTCAAACCGTGGTCGACTACATGGGAGTCCAGCGACATAGCCATTGCACTAACTGCTGATCTCTTTTTATTTATTTATTTATTTATTTTTGGAGAGGTTTTTTTGCTATAGGGCGTGTGCACTCACCAGACAGACAGAGACAGAAAGCGAGAAATCACCCCCCGGGGGGATGGCCATGCCGCAGTTCCTTCTCCATTCTCCTCTCGGGATCCTGGGCATGCATGCACAAGCGCCCGGCGTGAGTTTTAAGCCACCAGGTTCTGGACACGAACTGCGGGCGACTACATGGGAGTCCAGCAACATAGCCATTACGCTAACTGCTGGTCCCAATTTTTTAATTTGACCAGAGAGAGACAGAGTGAGAGAGAGAGGGAAAATGAGAAAGCAAACCGCCAGGGCTGTGTTTAGCCATATGGGAGTTCAGCATCCTTAACCACCACGCCACCTGCTGGCCCCAATTTATTCATTTATTTTAATTTGATTAAAGAGAGACACACACAGAGAGAAAGGGAAAGTGAGAAAACAAGCCACCAGGTCTGGGACTCCAACCGTGGTTGGCCGTGTGGGAGTGTCCAGTGCCTTAACCACCACACCACCTGCTGACCTTAGCAGCATAATCTTAAAAACTCTTTGTAGGACTTACTACATACTCACAGGGCACTGTTCCCAGCACTTCACATGCATTTGTTCAATTATATCTGGCTGATTTTGGATGGTGACTATTATCCTCAAAAGTTGAGGGAACAGCCCCAAGGAAGTAATTTGCCCAAAGTAAGTTGCTACCAGAGGTTCAAGCTCAAACATAACCCCAGAGCTCACGGTCTTATTAAGGCACTGAGAAATATGGCTTCTCTGAGGTCTGGAATTCAGGAAGACCTTCCTATAAGAATTGGATCTTAAACTGAATAAATGACTTAAAATATAATAGCCAGGGCTGTCTTCAAATACTGTACTGTCCTCGGGAACCAGCAGTTAGCGTAATGGCTATGTCACTGGATTCCCACATCGTCAACTGTGGTTTGAGTCTGGGACCTGGTGGCTTAAACTCATACCGAGCGCGTGTGCGAGCGTGCCCAAGATCCCGAGAGGAGAATGGAGGAGAAGGGATGGCGGCGTGACCATCCCCCCTGGGGGGAGATTTCTCGCTTTCTGTCTCTATGTCTCTGTCTGTCTGTCTGGCGCGCACGCACCCTATAGCGAAAACCTCTCAAAAAAAATAATAATACTGTACTGTCCTCCAAACTGCCCTGTTTTCTTTACCTTTAGGAAGGAGTTCCTTGCCTTTTAGCCAAGACCCAAAACTATTACATTGTCAGGACAGTCTTGACATATTTTTCTGTGCAAAAATGCATCATGACTTTCCCAATGACCCAGTAGAAAACGCCAATTCCGTTACTGCTAAAAAGTTTCCCTTTGGGCCAGTAAGTAGCATGGAAATTAAGGTGGCTGGATTCCACGTGACCAGCTAGAAGTTTTGAGTCCCAGACTTTGCAGCCTGAGGAACATGCATTTGCATGCCCAAAATCCCTAGGAGAATGGAAGAGAAGGGATTGTGGTATGGCCATCCCCCCTTGGGAGGTGATCTCAATTTCTCTTCCTCCCTCCCTCGGACAAATGGGTGTGCACTGTAGCAAACTAAAAATAAATAAAATTTTGAAAACGAAGTTCACTAACAATTTTACCTTGTGGTTAGATAGTACTGAGGCTATGCTATAAGAAAATTAGTAGCTCTAGGAAATTAGAAGAACAAAAGTTGCTCCCATGGTCTTCATTTCTAGGCATTGATCATAAGGACAAAATCTTCCCTAGCCTCCTGGAGTAACTGGAGAGACCTGTATGCCTGCAATGTAAATTTCACAATGTCTGGGATTTGCAGACTGCTTCATACTTCTCCAAGTGCTTTCCCATGTATTTTCTCATATCCTCCCCAAAAACCCCTGCTGAAGTATGTATGGCAGGCATAATTAACCCCTTTTTACAGGTGATGACACATGATGACACAACATGTAACTGGGCTTGGGCTGAAGTCCTACGTGTACAGTTAACGGCCAGGACTGCAGCCTAGTGACTGTCCATTGCAGCCAGGCCAGGTAGCAGACACTCCCTCCACCCTTGCCACACCAGCAGTTTTTTTTGTTTGTTTTTTTGTTTGTTTGTTTGTTTTTGTTTTTAAATTGTCTTACTTTATTTTATTTTCAGAGAGGGACAGAATGAGAGGAAAAGTGAGA